GAAAAGGATGTGAAATATTCGTTGACTAGAATATTAATCATCCAAAACTGACTCCCACATGAGGTATCGGGTGAGATTAAGCGATATCTACATTGTAGATATTGCTGCAATGAAATTGCATCACAATGCTTTGCAGATCTTTGTGACGTCATTGGTTACCATGACATCACAATCAAATGACATCACTAATGGCTCTGCTACTGAAGCTGTTAGCAGTACTTTTACACTTATACACGGCTTATTACTGTCTACAAACTGAAAAAGTTGGAAGAATGATGTTGGATCGTTTGATATCAAATATAACAATACTCGTTGATAAAAGCCTCGTTTTGATATATTTAATATCAAAAGACACTCGGGTGAGATTCTCTATATCTACCATTATGCAAACACAGCGTGACAATGAGCACTTTAATATCATCTCAAGCACAATCATTCAGGGTCATGCAGAAAACATAAACATTCGTTGCCTTCAGTTTCATTATGTTCGCCGTACTCGAGATTAAAGAATCAAACGTTCTTTTCTGATATATATGTTGTCTTTTTAAGAACACTGTGAATTTTAGTCAGTCAACCACTGATGTTACAAATTCCTAGGGACCGTTTAGTTTGTTACATTTCAGGTAATATTTCACTTTTAGTAAATGTGTGTACATCCGACCGGGGATAGAATCAGCTTCACCATATGTAGCGATATCACACACATATACTTTTCCGTATCCGATTTCAAACAGTGAGTTAGTGAGTGGATGCTATTTAACGCCGCACTCAGCATTGGTATTCATATATAGTGAACCGCAAAAGAAACGTCACCATGGATAGATGTATGAGAAACCTCATTGTCCAAACACTGTAAAATACTTTGAGACATATTAAAAAGATGAAACTTTTATCATTAAATTGATTATCAAGGTTGAAATGAAAGTGTCAAATGTTCTTAAAGTGAAATACAACATTAGTCTCTGAGAAAATGACATCACAAGTCAGTATCTCGTCTGTCCGCCATGTGCATTGATGACTGCAATGCAACGTCGATACATGGAATGGATGAGGCGGTTGATGAAGGCCATAGACACTTGAGCCCACACTCTGAGGAACGCCTGACGCAGTTCAGCTGCAATTGTCGGCCTTGGTCGGACGTCATTCAGCCGTCTTTGAATCTCGTCCCACAGGTGCTCAATGGGATTTAAATCGGGACTGAGGGCAGGCCACTGCACGGTTCTGATGCCATTCTGCTGGAGGAAGTCTCTCTTGTTGCTCTCGCAGTGTGGGCACGGGCGTAATCATGCTGAAATTCATGGTTGCGGCGACGTGCCAACTGAGGTATGGCGTGTGGTATCAAGACTTGATCAATGTACCGAGCTGCTGTGACACCATTGACTCTCCCTTGACCGATATTCTGGGAGACCACAGGGTCGACCTTCTGTGCAAGACCAATTCCATCCCACACCATGATGCTCGGACCACCCCAGGAGTCTCTCTCAACAACACAACCATCCGAATAACGTTGCCGGCGTCGCCAGACTCTCTGCCATCTGCTGTTGAGATACAGTAACGGCTCTCGTCTGAGAAGAGTTATCTTCTCCACTGCTGGTGGCGCCAATGCTGGTGCTGTGTTGCCCACTGAAGACGGTCCCGGCGATGACGTGGTGTCAGAATGGGTCCTCGGTGTGACCTGTGACAGTGGCGGTGTCTGCTCGTCAATCGTCGACGCACGGTGTCCGCACTAATGTGTCGCTGGTGTGTCCCCATGGTCTGTCGAACAGTTTCCACACCAGTAACAAAGCGATTTTGAAGGTGCTGTCGCACAATCTGACGATCCTGACGTGCAGTCATCTGTAGTGTTGGTGGTCTGGTACCGTTGCTGGAGCCTGTGTCCGTTCCTTACGTTGACTTGAAATGCATTGGCCACTTGCCGGGCGGTTTGTCCAGTTTGTAATCGCCCAAAGGCTTGGTGTCGCTGATTTCTTGTCAATCTTGGCATGTGGTAGCAATTCAATAACGAATGAATGTTATCCAATCTGGGTAGATTCTTATAGGGCAAGAAATGGGGCAACGCATGTGCATTTCAATTTGAACTGCACGGTTACTATGGCCGTTGCCGTGATGCGTTTGGGCGATAGGTTTTATTGTCATCTGCTTCGGTTTTTTTATCATCAAATTACATTTTTACGGAAAATGAAATGTTAAATTTTAGATAAAAATTACTCAGATATTTAAATGACAACCTTACATGCATTTATACTTGGGGTGACATTTCTTTTGCGGTTCAGTATATGTTTATGAGGGACTACGGTTATGGCGAACTAACATTAGTGGTCCCTTTGAGTTCGTTATAACCGTAGTTTACTATATATATATATATATATATATATATATATATATATATATATATATATATATATATATACACACACACGCACGCACGCATGTCACAGAAGACAATACCTTATGCGTGTAAATCGTTTCCATGGTCAGTTGTGGAATGTTCCCAACATCATTCTACGTTATGAAGCGCTCGTAAAAGATATGTATACCTGCCTGAAATGCTCCCTGAACAAACAAATGAGTAGTACATACAAACTGTTATGTTAGTGTATCGAGTTGTAAGGAGGAAACCCCGAAGTGTCGCGTGTCTTAGATGTTTACCACGTACAAGGTCCTGGTGCCCACAGAAAAAGGGTAATAAATTTGAATTTCAAACCAGTGATCAGCGCATCCTGGTACAGGTAAGGGTAATAATAAAATACCCTGCACACAGACCGTCTAAGACCACTGAATTACCCATGGTAAACCAACTAGAAACACCCCCTTTTTCAAATATGACTTAAAAATAATATAAAAGATCCGAGATAAACATATATTTTTCCCTTGTCAATGGTGTGGTTGATAACCCATAACTCCGCAAACAGAATACGTTTCATATAAAAAAGTAAATACGGGATGTTCAGAACATCAGGGGTACGCTGGGCAATGACTCAAATTGAGCCTGTTTTTGTTTTTTCAAAAAGAAACTACAACATCTGTCACACAATGGTTTCACAGCAACTGACAGCAGCCACAGCAATTGTATTGAACAAGTTTATTACTCCCACAATAACAGGAATATCTGCAGTGTCGCTTGTGCAGTTTTCAATGGTTACAGTTCCTGATGGTTCCAGTATGTGATGGTTACAGTTTCAGATCGTTACAGTTCCTGATGGTTACACTTCCTAATGATTACAGTTTCAGATGGTTACAGTTTCTGATGGTTACAGTTGGTGATGGTCACAGTTCCTAATGGTTACAGTTGCTGATGGTTACAGTTCCTGACGGTGACAGTTCTTTATGATCGCAGTTTCAGTTGTTAAAGTTTCTGATGGTCGCAGTTCCTGATCGTTACAGTTCCTGATGGTCACAGTTTCTGATGGTTACAATTCCTGATGGTTACAGTTTTTTATGGTTAGAATTTCTGATCATCCCAGTTTCTGATGATTACAGTTGCTGATGGTTACAGTTTCATGTGTTTACAGTTTAAGATGGTTAGTTTCTGATGATTACAGTTCTGATGATTACAGTTCCTGATGGTTACAGTTTCTGATGGTTGCAGACCCTGATGGTTACAGTTCCTGATGTCACTATGGTTACAGTTCCTGATGGTTACAATTCCTGACGGTTACAGTTCCTGATGGTTACAATTCCTGACGGTTACAGTTCCTGATGGTTACAGTACCTGATGGTTACAGTTCCTGATGGTTACAGTTAGGATGATTACATTTCCTGATGTCACTGGTTACAATCCCTGATGGTTACAATTCCTACCGTTACAGTTCCTGATGGTTACGGGGATGACACTCATCATAATCCTAAGATGGCCAATAGACACATATAATTCACTACCTAGTGTCACACATACAAAGTGGAACAGTTCCTCTGTCTCCGTGTGTCATCCACATACCTTCGGTGATTGACACATGTGATCAAAACTAAATAAGTAGAAATCGAAAATAACAGTGCCAACAACCAATCTATTGAAGGATATTTTGAACCAGGCAATGTTTACCTATATATCGCAACAACACACTTCTAGCATGTTTTGTAATTACAGATTAGCTGACATATGCTGTTGCTATGCTGAATTAAACTTCACAATAACATTGTAGCTCAGGAGTAGTTCTTCAAGATACAACTATGCATTCTCTGTAAATGTTTATAAACGCATTCATTATTTCCCCTAAGTTGGCATCATTACGCAGTACATATATTTGTTTAAAATGTATATACACTGTAGGATACTGCAAACTGATATCATAATTGATGCACTTATATAGTTATTATTTCTATGCCGAAAAGTAGGAAATGCCACACATTATCTAGTTAAGATCAAACACAGACAAACTAAAGGGTTTTCTATTCCGAAAAGGAAATGTCATACTTCAGACGGTAGGGATAAGATGTAGACAACACGTTGGTATGACAATGATGTTAAAGACATAACACAATATATTTCTCTACTCATTTCAGAGAAGTTTGTGTCCCGGCGGAGTCTCAGTAATCTATAGTCTCATTGTGAATGATGACACACCTCTAGTTCCTATTAATTCAACGGATCTACATGAAGCAGAACAACAGTGACATAACTGACATATGATATAAAAAGAATAGGGTAGGTATTGTTTCATCTTCTTTAAATACTGTTTCTATCACAAGCGGTTATATGTGGTCTTTTACAATGGTTTCTTACACTCTACTTGCGATATGTTCATTCTTCGTTGAAAGGACAGCACTCTGTTGTGTCATCAATTCACCAGCATAAACACCACCTCTCGCACACAGATAGTCAAATGATGTCTGTCCAAGCACATCAGCCTTCCTAAAAATAGCGCCATGTTGTATCATCAGTTGTATCACACTAGCATCAACATCACCACTCACACACAGATAGTGAAGTGCTGTTTGTCCATAGAGATCAGCCTTGTTAACATCAGCGCCATGATGTATCATCAGTTCTACAACACTAGAGTAAACACCACCACTCTCACACAGATAGTGAAATGCTGTCTTTCCACGCCGATCAGCCTTGGTAACATCAGCGCCATGTTGTATCATCAGTTCTACAACACTAGCATCAACACCCCTTCTCGCACACAGAGTGAAGTGCTTCTCACACAGAGTGAAGTGCTGTCTTTCCATGTCCATCAGCCTTGTTAACATCAGCGCCATGTTGTATCATCAGTTCTACAACACTAGCATCAACATCACCACTCTCACACAGATAGTGAAATGCTGTCTTTTCATCGACATCAGCCTTGTTAACATCAGCGCCATGTTGTATCATCAGTTCTACAACACTAGCATCAACACAACCACTCTCACACAGATAGTGAAATGCTGTCTTTTCATCGACATCAGCCTTGGTAACATCAGCGCCATGTTGTATCATCAGTTCTACAACACTAGCATCAACACCACCACTCTCACACAGATAGTGAAGTGCTGTCTTTCCATGTCCATCAGCCTTGTTAACATCAGCGCCATGTTGTATCATCAGTTCTACAACACTAGCATCAACACCACTACTCGCACACAGAGTAAAGTGCTTCTCACACAGAGTGAAGTGCTATCTTTCCATGTCCATCAGCCTTGTTAACATCAGCGCCATGTTGTATCATCAGTTCTACAACACTAGCATCAACACCACCACTCGCACACAGATAGTGAAATGCTGTCTTTTCATCGACATCAGCCTTGTTAACATCAGCGCCATGTTGTATCATCAGTTCTACAAAACTAGCATCAACACCACCACTCGCACACAGATAGTGAAATGCTGTCTTTTCATCGACATCAGCCTTGGTAACATCAGCGCCATGTTGTATCATAAGTTCTACAACACTAGCATCAACACCAAATCTCTCACACAGATAGTGAAATGCTGTTTTTCCATCTCTGTCAGCCTTGTTAACATCAGCGCCATGTTGTATCATCAGTTCTACTTCACTAGCATCAACACTACCACTCTCACACAGATAGTGAAGTGCTGTCTTTTCATCGACATCAGCCTTGTTAACATCAGCGCCATGTTGTATCATCAGTTCTACAACACTGGCATCAACACCACCACTCTCACACAGATAGTGAATTGCTGTCTTTCCATGCCGATCAGCCTTGTTAACATCAGCGCCATGTTGTATCATCAGTTCTACAATACTAGCATCAACACCACCACTCTCACACAGATAGTGAAATGCTGTCTTTTCATCGACATCAGCCTTGTTAACATCAGCGCCATGTTGTATCATCAGTTCTACAACACTAGCATCAACACCACCACTCTCACACAGACAGTGAAGTGCTGTCTTTCTACGCCTATCAATCTTGTTAACATCAGCGCCATGTTGTATCATCAGTTCTACAACACTAGCATCAACACCAAATCTCTCACACAGATAGTGAAGTGCTGTCTTTCTACGCCTATCAATCTTGTTAACATCAGCGCCATGTTGTATCATCAGTTCTACAACACTAGCATCAACATCACCACTCTCACACAGATAGTGAAGTGCTGTCTTTCCACGCTTATCAGCTTTGTTAACATCAGCGCCATGTTGTATCATTAGTTCTACAACACTAGCATCAACATCACCACTCTCACACAGATAGTGAAGTGCTGTCTTTCCACGCTTATCAGCCTTGTTAACATCAGCGCCATGTTGTATCATCAGTTCTACAACACTAGCATCAACACCACCACTCTCACACAGATAGTGAAGTGCTGTATTTCCAAACACATCAGCCTTGTTAACATCAGCGCCATGTTGAATCATCAGTTCTACAACACTAGCATCAACATCACCACCCTCACACAGATAGTGGAGTGCTGCCTTTCCAAACAAATCAGCTTTGTTAACATCAGCGCCATGTTGTATCATCAGTTCTACATCACTAGCATCAACATGACCACTCTCACACAGATAGTGAAGTGCTGTCTTCGTTTTCGTGGTTGCCGGATTTACACTTGCTCCACATTCCAAGAGGATACGGGTGGCAGTAGTGTTACTACTCTGTGCAACTTGTAACAACATAGTCTCACCGTCTTCATTGCTGTCGTTGACAGACAGTCTGCCTGTTTCCTGCAAAATAGGGCCGTATACATCAATTGATGATGATGTTAAAATTAAAGTTGAGTGCACGCATAACAAACTACAAACAAACCTTAAGGACTTCATTGAACCTAAACACCCTCACACTATGCATTTCCGTCAGATCATCAGCAAAGAAACATGGATATGTTATATGATCCGTATTAAAACTAAGGCTGTCAGTAAGTGGACGAGTGAGTTGGTTAAATGCTGCATTTAACATGTCAGTATTTTAATCATCTCATAACGTGCCGGCTTGATGTGGGAGGGAAGCCTGATAGTAATACAGGCCGTAGACGTTTACTTGCGTGCCTAGGCAAACATGTTCTAATATATCCCGGATAAAAACGTTGTGTATATATGGTGTAAAGATTCTGAAACGTAACTGTGATAAGGTACGTTATGTATTTAGTTACCTTGCAGCACAAGCAGATGAAATTATTCCAAAAGCTGTCCTTTTCAATTATGGATGAAAAGAAGGTCCGACAAAAGTCCTCGCTTTGGAAAAAGGGATGACGAAGCACATTAAAGCGTCTGTATATCACTGAAAGAGTGAACCTGTTGCAAAGACGTTGGATGTTCTGTTGGTTTGGCGATATTTTGAAGACATTTCTTGAAACAGTACTGTCATGGCTTTGTGACTCTGCAAACCGCATTTTCTCCATTATGAAAGAGAAACTAAAATATTTGATCGCGAACACCACATCACGTTTCCCTATGCAGTTTGCAACACTTTCATAAACGGATGGATGTGAAAATGTTATTACTCCGTTGGTGTTTGACAGATAGCTACCATTTAATGGAGCCGATACTTCAATGATACCACTGCGTTGGTCATCGTCTTCTATCTCACTGGTATCAAGTCGCCCATCTCTTTTCAAGAGAGTCTTGAACACATCTTTTAATTTTTCGTTATCCAGATACGCATCAGTCGTGGCATCCAAAATCTCAAGAGGGCGGGAGAAAAATTGTACAATGTCAACACATTTCTCCTCCGACTTCAACTCAGCAAACAGCTTGCAACAATGTGGAAATCCATATGGTATGCTGCTCTGAATCACTTTTAATTTTTCAGTTTCTGGTATGTCTTTAATATTCTTCTGTTTCAGATGATAGTCTAGCATCGGACCCTTCTCCTCTACAGGTAGACACGATAGGTTTGTGACAGCATCGACCCCAAGAATGGAACGTTTATGTTTTTCAAGACAAGGCTCAACTTCATTTAGGATATTTGATCTTTGCACCAACATACAAATCACTCCACTTGGCTGCTCAGATTCTTTTGCCTTTGATATGTTTTCCATGGCATCGAATATGACAGGTTTCCATGTGCTGAATGCTATTTTATCAAGAGCAAAGGCCCCTAAAACATCGTTCATCATGAGGAGAGATCGGTGGGTATTCTTTGTGATGGTGTGATACTGCTCCACTGTCTTCACTCGAAACACTTCTCGCCCTCGTTTCATCATCTCATGAAGCACCATGTAGGCCACTGTTGTCTTCCCATCACCACCACTTCCGGTGACTGTGATCCAGTTTTGTCCAGCGTCCATCTTCTTCACGATGTCATCAACAAACTGTGTTTTGATCATGCCAGATGTCCACGTTTGGATATCTGAAACTGTCTCATCTGTGAGATGCAAATGCGTAAAATAGTATCACCATTGAAGTTACATGAGTTGCAGCACTTTGTTATAATATGGTCTTGCCATTTATCGTGATAAAGCTACCAAGATTAATGTACCAAACAGAAACAGAACTTGGACTTTCATTCATTTGAGAATTGATGATCAAACATGCTTACGACTACGTGTCAACTATGCTCATTTCGTTAACAATGAGGTGTCATACCTACCTCTTATCCTTTGTACTGCTGGGTCTTTTAGGGTCCCTGAAAAATATGTCAAGTAAATCATTATATGTTTAACATGGTTGGTTAGTTAACATCACTGACATATATTCATCATCAGTAGAAAAAGACTTTTCTCGTCATTTAGATGAAATATTTAGGAACATTTTTGTCTGCCATTTCTATCATAGCAATGTTATTTTGGACTATATGTTTAGTGCTACTTTCTAACACTGTTATTTTGCAGCTACAAATTCAATACATTTATCACGACGGGTTCGTTCAAGCACAGATATTCAGAGAACAATGTGAATTAACGTGTGACACAAAATGATAGCTTTAAATTATGCCAAACATAATGTTCACTTCAAGGTTGCTGTGATGCAGTTTGATTCTGATCTTAGTTTGTGTTTACATAGGAACTTCATAGTCATACACGACCTGAACATAAAAAAGTATGCAAGGTTTTTAAAGGTTGGGTAATGTTCGGAATTATGTTAACGCCAGTCCTCAAATTCATTCGGATGCTATAACAATCCTATATGTTTCATTCTGGGATTTTTCTTGATTTTCCACCAAAAAACTTTTACTTTCTGACAGCACGCACAAACCTGAAACCCAAACATGAATGGTAATATCCGGGGGTCCTACACGTATTCATAAAAGAAGGATGTCCTTATAAGTGATGTTGTGTCACTTTCCTCGCCATAAGAATATCACAAGAAGTGTTGTTTCAATCTATTCCTCAAAATTTGTTTTCAAATTTGTGAAATGTCCACTGAAGATACTGAGATGCTTATGTAGCCCATATTAGCAGCTAACGGAAACAACTACGTTATGCATTTCAAGAACTCACGTCCCAAAATTAAAAATCTAAATTTAAACAGTATGACTTAAATCATTCGCCGAAAAAGGAGTATTTGCATACTCCAGCCATTGAAGCTAGGGTCCCAGTTTTGTAATTCAAGGCTGTGAGTTGAAATTAATTTCATGACCTAATTATGTTCATTATCTCAGCTAATAATTAGTAATCTAGTATGATCTCTGTCTTTATATTAGTTGCCGGAACTTCGAATTCCTCTCCTCAGAAGACGTGAAATTGGTAACTATGCTATATCCTTGTCCGATAATGTAAGCGCGTTCTGATGCCTGAATATGTCGTATCATATACTTGTTTCGAATTGTTTTTAAATATAAAACGTCGATGCTTCATCAAACAAGGGACAATTGAAGAAATATTTTGCAAATTTATTCCTAGAAAACTACACATGACTAGATAAAAATATAGTGATGTTTTCAATCATACCAAAGTTATGACCAAAGTGAACATAAGATTTGTAAATTCTCTTGAACTTACGTGATTAACGTTATTGAATGGGGTATGCGCTTCTTGGTAGGAACCTGCGAAAATCGTTAAATGTGTGCAAATCTGATTTCAATAAACATATCTCCCATACCTTTTAACTAAATATAAATTCGATTTTTTTATCGGCAAATAAATTATGAGCCATTTCAGTAAATTTATTATACGATAAAAACTTAATTTTCGAGGTCATCATGTCAGTTGCAGAAATTAGAAAATTAGTGTCATGTTATATATTTTTCAGGAAACAATAAATGAATTACAAATATTCACTAATCCTTATTTCAACTGTTTTGGTGGAATATTTACCGTCTACGGAAAACAAATCACGTGTCGTAATGCTTGCAGACGTACAAAAATCAAGCTTGGCGCGCTTCGTCCGACCTCAGCATTAGTTATTGCTATTTCATTATGAACAAAGTTTACATTGCCTCGCGATATGCCGTCGCGAAAGTTGAAGAGCTTCACATTCGAAAAAATGTTCAATTTGTCATTTTCAATTTATTACGACGAGAGAAAAACGAAAATAAAGATCTAGAATCTGACAGCAATATTTCAGTAAGTGCAATGGCCACCGGACATGCGAAATATTTCAAAGTTTACTGTAATTGTTTTTTTCTAACGAAAGCATGTGGTGACCTTTGACATTCTGTGACCTTTGCACTTACATAACTATGACGTAATGGGAACGTGTCAGCTTGCATGATAGTGTTTCGGTGGTTCACTCCCAAAACTTCTACATGCCAAAACATCTACAGAGAGTTGTCATGGCTGATTGAGTTTACCTATTGTTATAATGGTATAGTCCTCCTGTAATTAAGAAGACTCATTAGCTTCTTTACGATTTTGTTTTAGAAAGGCAAGGAAGGGTACTTTGGGAAGATTAAATAGTTACAGATGTACCTAATGAAAACAACATATTTGGAGATAAAGAAGATTATAATAAAAAGACCCGTCACTTACAATGAAATTAACTGGTTTAGGAAATCACGATCTTTTCGAGGGCCTATCCCCTAAAGTAAACACATCAAAATTCGCGGATGATGGAGCCATCTGGATCCGCACTAAAAGCATGAAAATGGACCCATCAGACTCGCTGGGTGCACTTCAGGCCATCAGTGGCAGAAACTCAAACTCCAGGCCAAACACAATCAACAATATTCTATACGAATATACAAAACTATCGGACCAAGGGCAACAGGTGGAGCTGTGTTGGATCCCCTCTCACATAGATATTCATGGAAATGAAAAAGCAGACTCACTCAACTCATACTCAAATGAAAGGAAAATTGAAATTGCTATCTCACGCCTCAGACTTGGTCACAAAAAGCACTATGACAAGGTTTGTTCATCTTGCAACCTTTTAGACTTTGGTGCTGCCCCACCAAGCAGGAAGCGAGTTTACAGAGAGACTGAAAACCGCCTGAGACGTCTTAAGGACATGTTGACTCAAGGACAGAAAACCCCTATCGAGTTCCTTGATGCTGTTGGTCATCTTCTCAAACTTGGTTAAGAGACTTGAAAAAAAGTATTTTTAGTGTTGTATGTGACAGAGTAAGGCCAGTTGTGACATTAAATTAGTGCGTGTACTATTTATTTATACCAGTGCTTACATTAAATTAGTAAGTAGTCCAGTGCAAAAAGTGTGTGTACTATTTATTTATACCAGTGCTATATGAGTCGATTGTCTTCATATTGTTTTGTTGTGTTGTATGTTGTACACTTAATTAATTGGACTGTTCCAATCAATGCCCAACAGGTAATAGCCAGGATATTAGTGGTGCAGTGGACCATAAACTTTGCTGTAGAAGTTTTGGCATGTAGAAGTTTTGGGAGGACACCGTTTCGGTTAGCCACCAGTATTTCACAGAGTGGAACGGCTATGATCATCTTGTGTTAGTACCGATAATATGATCACATAAATACTGCGCAATAAAATACCCTTGTCAGTCTCCCAATGTGAACTTGAGGGAGTCTTGTCCATTCATCTTGCAGCCTGACCTAGTTCGGCTAATGTAGGGAGCGGCCATGGATGTCTCCAGATCATGTCCCATGCCAGACGTGCGCTATGTGGAAAAGGTCAGTACTCATGACTAGGCATTGCATTCTGGTACGTTGCTGCTGGATGTAGTCAGTTACAATATGTCCACTGAAGTGACGAGCGACATTGTCTTGAAAGACAAAACGTGGACCAGCACGGCGCAAATGGCACAACTACTGGCAAATGACACAACTACAATATCAATTGGCGTTGTGACAGTAATGGTGATCAAGTCTCAAATTGTAAAGACCCACCCCACATTAATCATCTTGCCTTACGTTGACGTTCCCATGACATTCGTTAACGGGCCTCAAAATACGTCCACGCCTATCAAGAAAGTCAGAGTGAATCCGAAACATTTCGCGAGGCCAAGGTCTACGCTCCAAATACCATTGACATCTGGCGACGTTTGCCGATGTGCCTGTAACTCGGGTGATCAAAGAATTGATTGGCTGTTTGGGCTCTATTTTTTTAAGGGCGGTGGGGTAGCCTTCTGGTTAAAGCGTTCGGTCGTCACGCCAACGACCTGGCTTCGATTCCCCACATGGGTACAATGTGTAAAAGCCCATTTCTGGTGTTCCCCGTTGTGATACCGCTGGAATATTGTTAAAAAGGACGTTAAATCATCCTCACGCACTTGATTTTTTAATGCCTGGTTTCTGATTAATCGACATGTGTTGTCGACCTAGATCGCCCTGTCTGTCACATATTGAACCCAAAATCGAAGCCGGGTCTTCGGCGTGACGAGCGAACGCTTTATCCACTTGGCTAACCCACCGCCCTGCCGAAATCTGTTCCACAAACTGAAACATATTGGCTACCTCTCGCTGGCACCAACCATTTTGAAGCATTCCAATAGCCATTGATAACGTTCATCACGTTGTACACGACGCATTCCCAGTCCTATCACGAATATTGATCAGTAGTGAGTGAGTGAGTTGGGTTTAACGCCGCTTTTAACAGTATTCAAGCTATATCGCGGCGTGTCAGCTTAATGTGGGAGGAAAGCCTAAAGTGATGCATGTCTCAGACGTTCACCACTTTGGTGAAACCCACGAGCACGGGTAGGGTGCTGACAAACCTAGAAACATAATTGAGGCGAACCGGGATTCGAAACCACAATCATAGTTTTCTGGGACGCAACTCTGCACAGCTAATCGCCCCCGTGCCCCCTATTGATCAGTATGAATTACAGCAAGAGTAGAAGTGTTGCTGTGGATTATGAAAATAAACAATTTTAATGAGCGATTTGACCAACCATTAGGTCTTCAGCAACCTATGCTTGCCGTAAAAGGCGACTATGCTTGTCGTAAGAGGCGACTAACGGGATCGGGTGGTCAGGCTCTCTGACTTGGTTGATGCATGTCATCGATCCCAATTGATGCTCATGATATTAATCACTGGATTATCTGGTCCAGACTCGATTATTTACAGACCGCCGTGATACAGCTGGAATATTGCTGAGTGCGGCGTTAAACAACAAACCAACAAACTAATCAACCAAACGTGGTGTCAGACAATACACGATAGTTTTCGTTTGATGTTTCAGCTAATACACTTCGATAGGTTCTCTTACTTAACATCAAATAGAACGTAACAAAAAATGTCTAATTTACTTGTTGGTCTGGTTTCATTGTTCTGTTGTCTTTCTCCACCGTCAGTGGACGTTGATGACTGGATCACCTGTTGACCTCCCACTGTTGCATATCGTGCGTTAAGGTTGGCTACCTCTGTTTTCTTTGTAAAGTGGACCTGTGGGTTGTTGATTACTGAAAGGAGACAAAGATATATTTGTCAAATGTGGCTTGGTTTGAATACCTTGCACACGGGTTGCATACCAATAGATTTGCCAAGTAAATATAAAACACTGTCTTGTCAGTCCTATTCCATACACTACACACCAGAACCATCTCCGTATGTAACTTCATGTTTTTTGTCTTCAGAGAAAGTAAATTGCGTAATACTTGTGCTTCAGTAGCTCGATATCGAGCGTTGACAGTTCTTGCATGTGTATATCTCTTTGTGGACGTTTCGCATCAAAAAGAGACAAACAATGAATGTAACATAACATACATGTTCACACAAGAAATACGTTCGTTGTAGCAATGTGATTTAGGCTTGTCAGTCGCTTGTGTATAAGTTCTTGTAGAAAAAACCAGGATATACAGGAAAAATCTCTTGAAAATTCCCAATTTGAAAATAATAATTTCCCAATTCATGTTACAATATGTTTCAATGTGTAAAACTAATGGCTTATTTTATGGCTGTGTGGAAGTAACCCGTATTTAGCTATTATAGGTCCAATGTATGGAAACAAGTTTTAATGTTTTGTTTTATATTATTGCATTAAATGCAATCTCAAAATACCTCTAAGAAAATATGAACATTTTAAACAAAATAACAATTTCCCCTAATTTGCCTGAGGGGCATGTGATGTTATAAGAGGGTGCATTAAGAAATGCCAACTCAATGCTACACACTCATACATTTATAACAGCAATGGTGAGTTATACTATAAACGAATTCGGATACTTTCAGGACGTTCATCAATTAATAACTTTTAATGAATGTTTTGTCGTTTTTCCATGCAATGACTACAAACGGAAAAACGACGTTATCGTGTTTGCAATGGAATGCGATTCAGACAATCCACCTTGTCAGAGAACGATTTTGATACACCGAAATCCACACCTATACCTATATTTGTTGGACGCTGTTCTGTATCCACTGACAACGCGTTGCTGACTGATTCTGCTATAGCACGTGACAAGTCTTGTTCGTCATCTGCAATAGAAAAAACGCAAGTGTTTATGATGAAAAAATACCAAAACTTAGTCTATTGTTTGAGAATGACTGACTTTCCTGAAATATATGTAATAAACACACCTTGCGTTAGTGCCACGGCCCCCTGCAAACACGAAGGAGATCGTGATCGGTGCGTCTTTCCACTGTCGTAGTGGCAATTTGCAGCTGCATCATCTGTGGTTGTTAGTTCGTCCCTGTCACCTAGCATCATAGCAGCACAGTCAGCTCCACCTGGTAAACATTCATCTGTCCTCAGTTGGTCTTCTGTGTCCGTCTTACGAGAACTCTGTTGCTGGTACAGGGCCTCCAAACCAGGGTCAAAGTCATTGTTTATACACACCGCCTCTTCCTCCTCCTCCTCCATCCCCTCCACCTCACTTTCTGAGGTGCTGCCCGAGTCATCGAGGTCTGGAGCTACCTCCCCTTTGTTATCGCTGTCATCTGATTCTTGGAGAGATGGTGAGCTCATCTTGTAAACTTTACCCAACAAATGTTCCTTTTTTCTGGAAAACAACAGTTGCAATGAAAAATCAGTTTTTGGTATGTGGAGTCACATGTTTTTTTGTGTCAAACTGTTGTCCTATTGAAACAAAAGCTATCAGTAGAAGACATCCTTCATTTTGTATGAGTGCAACGTTGAATAAAGTGCTTAACACTAAAACTAAACAAAACCGGCAAAACCTTTTCCATATTCATATACATTAAACTACGTATGTAAGCTTATAACGAACTACGGTTCTATCGAACTAAAATAGTGGTCACTTTGAGTTCGTTATTACCGTAGTTTACTGAAATAGAGCGTAGAAGCTGGGTGACTGCCTACATATTCTTAAAAAAATGTATTTCTTTACTTATAACCTCTCACATCTGATTTCTTTCTGTTGAAATTCTGTTAATAATTTGAAATATACCAAGTGCAGATCTACAATCCATCAACTAATCAGTTACTCAATTGCAACAATACGCATACCAATCATCATGGTGTGAAATAAAAGATCTATCAATTATTCTGTTCCTTTAAACTGTTCGTTAAGTGTCATGAAAGGTGTTAATTAACTGAACATTCTAATACTCATGTGTTTTATTATAGTTGTAAAATAGTAAGATTTGCTGCGTACGTTCATTACAAGTAAAAAATAAAAGAAAACAAAACGTGCACGTTTAATATGTAGTATTGAAAGCACTATTGACATGAAGCACAAACCGGTAAATATAACCTCTTGCAGGCACCTTCCTTCCGACCCTTAATTGATCAAAACACAATTTTGACGTTCATCGCTAGCCATGATGATGTTCATTGCTAGCCTAATGGATATTCCTTAAAGTGCACTTTGCAATTTCGTCGGAATAGCTTGTTTTCACTTTATGATTATAGCCAAACAAGCAGCTTTCTTCGTTATTCAATATAATTGCGATATTTCGTGATTCTGTTTCAAGTGTCGATGACCACCCACCCACCGCCACGCGTTTAGTCCAACTCGAGTTACTTCCCCTTCCAGTATGATCACAAAGCAACAGGGATGTGATATCGTAGCGTATATATGCCACAGTTAATTCTGCACTCGGTTTAGAACGCGATATTTCGTGTCCAACACGAGTTACATGCGACAGGGATGTGATATCGAAGCGGATGTACCCTTGTCAATTGTGCACTTGCATCAAGGTCGTATACATGAATTACAGCACAAACAAGCGCTGGCGGCGTCATGCACAGTAAGGGAATACTACATCTATGAGTTGGACCTCGAATTAGAACGGCATTTCGTTATCTATATTTGGATTGTAAAAGTTTTGAACATAAGGACAAATGTGATTCGAAACTCCCAGCTGTTTCATAAACAACAAACTTATTTATAGGGTGTCGCCTCATCACATATCCGGTTATAAATATGACATATCAGCCTGCATCGAATGTTTTAAGCAATCTAATAAGTCCCTGAAAATATTTAATGTGACATGATGTCCTGTGTCCCTGGTAACAATGGTTTATTTCCCTTGGCAAAGTAAGGGAGAACATGTTTTGTCCACTGTCCAGATGTGAAATATTCGGCTTATATAAGTGTAGACACGGTCAATCGTTCTTGTAACTCACCCTTTTCGTTGCCCTGTTGAGGGTCCTGGTTGGCATCGGTCCCCAGCTAGCTATGCTTGTCACGAGGCGACTACGTGGATCGGGTGGTCCGTCTCAGTGACTTGGTTGATTGCGGGATACCATCATCATACCCCGACGGCGAGCGTCGCTGCTCATAATACCAATCACTGGTTTGTCTGGTCCAATGCCGAGTTAAAGAGCAACTTAACAAACGCTGCCAGTGGTCCTGTCCAGCACACATACGTTGGGCTTGCGAGTCTCTTGTATACTAAATACGTCCCCCGGTTTCAAGCCGCTGAACCAGGACATGCCTGCCGACAATACGAACGTACAACCGCTCATATGGCGCTGCTGTTCGAAAGTAGTTAAGGAAGGAGATGCTATCAGTATCTCAACTGGCTGACAGTGAACAGAACTGTTGAAAATATAAAGTGTTATAGAACGATGGCTCACGAAGGACGGGATTTCTGGCACTGTAATAGAGATGGTATTCTTTGAATTATTAACTTTGAGAACAAGTGTTATTCTAAGTGAATATTCATTATAATCTTATGATATACACACCCTGTCCAGAAGTTGCAGAACACCTTTAAAATCACATATAGAAATCAGAAGTGGGTTTACGCCTCTTAAAATACTATTAATGAAATCTTAAGATTTCCTTTTGGCTGATGATAGTAAATCACTTTTAAAACTTGTTAGCAGGATGTGAATGCAAAGGGTCAATACTGCTAATTTAAAGATATTATTGACTATATACTACAGAGGGAGACGGGTGGACAATTCGCTGGGCATAGCTGGTTTCTTTGGGAACGACAGAAACCTATGCTCGTGGGTTCGAATCCTGGTTCGCCCAGATAATATTTGTCTAGGTTTGTCAGCACCATACCCCTGCAAAGTCGTAAACGTCTAAGACTTCGGGCTTTCCTCCCACATTAAACAGACACGACGTGATATAATTGGAATGCCGTCTGAAGCGGCGTTAAATCCAACACACTTTCTCACTATTACTACACATATATCCCGTCGACCAGAAGTGGGATAACTCCTTTAAAATCTACAGTTAATGGTGTCGTAATAATTTCTTCAGGCTGATGATAGTAAATTTTGTGAGCAGAAAGTGAATGTAATGTGTAAATATTCTAATCTGAAGAGAGTGTTTCCTTGTATTACCCATATAACTCGACCAGAAAGGGGATAACGCCTTTAAAATCTACAATTGGTGGAATCCTAAGCCCCCTTTTCATTACTATAGTAAACAAAAGCGACAAAACCCTTTCCATATTTATGATAAATCTCTACCAAAAACAGTCGATTGTACGATTCCGACTATGTCATGAATATGCGTATATGCGTGTATGAATATGAATATGCCTTTGTGAATCACTAGCAAGTGGCGGAAAGGTGAGCAAAACATATGGTTCAAGTCAAAATAGAGATTTACATCGGACATCCCACTATCCACCACATGTCATCCTTAAAACAGTTTGAAAGCTTCACTGAGACCTTGAATATGAAAGCGTGAGCGGGATGTGAATGCAATGGGTTAATATTTTAATAAGAACTGATATGACAATTACTGATATGTTATTTAACAACCGGTTTTGTAAGTAACAATTCACAGCTACCATTTACACATGGGCCCACTTGGGGTTAATGGGAAATGGGTCTTACATGGGTAGCCCTTCTTGGCCCTGTTCAGATTTGTCCAAGTGATCCAGCAGGGTCCCACATGGGCCTACATTTGGTAGACTTGACAGATGGATTTTGTGTGTGAACCTGTTTTCCCCTGCATGTATATAATATTTTCAGGTATCACAATCCCATATATCTACATGTACAAAGCATCATACGCGTTGTGTATATTCCATAGTCCGTGTATGTACGAGTTTAGAAATAAGGATTAAACCTGTTCTATAATTACTGCACAGTCACTTTTTAAATCGGTCATAATTTGGATATTTTTTTTCGTAAAAATGGGAAGATGCCAATTAAACATTAAAATACTGATTAATATGTTTCTGTCTTTTATCTGTTACCCTATTTAAAAATCAGACAAAGAATGAATTTATCCAGATATATTGGTCAAAATAATGTTGAATACACACATCAGTTCTTCACTCTCATAACACAAACATTCAGGACAACAGTCCACAGTCAGCACAAAGAACAGACAACTGGTTTGGTTGTATCTTGTTTATTTAGTTCCTCCATAAACAGCATTCATGCTTATTTCGTCCCTTTTGTATTATTTCAGGCTACCTCGTGAAACCAGTAACATTATGTGTTGCTCCTATTCTCGTACGTAAAGGTTCCTGCTTTGCTAAACCCGGTAACTTTGTTCACGGAAGTGCGCACAATAGATACATAGAAAGTCGGAGGCGTACCTGATGCCGTTTGCTCGTGTACAGGCAACGCTGATAATATAGACTGCGAAGGAAAACGGTCTGGGTATCAGTTCCCATAACTTTGCTTGTAGATCTTTGCGACTTGGACTCTTTTCCCGAATATAGGGCCGTGCATTGCATTGTATCACTGTGTCGGTGTGTGGGACTTCGGACTATATTTTGTAACATGACAATGTAATGACAAAGCAGACACTTAACAAACGTGATGTTTCATTCACCGGGTTTCGGCGCTGGCCCTATGAGACACCAGGACGAGTGATAACGGAAACCAGCCTGAGCACCTCATAAACTGGAGTTACTTCCCTTTGATAAAGGGCCTATCCGGCTGTTTATGTTTATTTACAATAAATTACTCTTATAAACAACATCAAACAAACATTCATAGCATATGATACAAACAAATTCGTCTGATATGCATTAAAGTTAATATCATTTGGGACTCATGTGGAACCCAGTTAGAAAAAACCCACTTTGATATACCCTCTCCCCGCCTTTCATTCTAAATGATGTATATACTTGTTTGATATGCCCTCTCCCCACCTTTCATTTTAAATGATGTATATACTTGTTTGATATAACCTCTCCCCGCCTTTCATTCTAAATGATGTATATACTTGTTTGATATGCCCTCTCCCCACCTTTCATTTTAAATGATGTATATACTTGTTTGATATAACCTCTCCCCGCCTTTCATTCTAAATGATGTATATACTTGTTTGATATGCCCTCTCCCCACCTTTCATTTTAAATGATGGATATACTTGTTTGATATGCCCTCTCCCCACCTTTCATTTTAAATGATGGATATACTTGTTTGATATACCCTCTCCCCACCTTTCATTTTAAATGATGTATATACTTGTTTGATATGCCCTCTCCCCACCTTTCATTTTAAATGATGGATATACTTGTTTGATATACCCTCTCCCCGCCTTTCATTCTAAATGATGTATATACTTGTTTGATATGCCCTCTCCCCACCTTTCATTTTAAATGATGGATATACTTGTTTGATATGCCCTCTCCCCGCCTTTCATTCTAAATGATGTATATACTTGTTTGATATAACCTCTCCCCGCCTTTCATTTTAAATGATGTATATACTTGTTTGATATAACCTCTCCCCGCCTTTCATTTTAAATGATGTATATACTTGTTTGATATGCCCTCTCCCCGCCTTTCATTTTAAATGATGTGTATACTTGTTTGATATGCCCTCTCCCCGCCTTTCATTCTAAATGATGTATATACTTGTTTGATATACCCTCTCCCCGCCTTTCATTCTAAATGATGTATATACTTGTTTGATATAACCTCTCCCCGCCTTTCATTTTAAATGATGTATATACTTGTTTGATATAACCTCTCCCCGCCTTTCATTTTAAATGATGTATATACTTGTTTGATATGCCCTCTCCCCGCCTTTCATTTTAAATGATGTATATGCTCTATTTGATATACCCTCTCCCCGCCTTTCATTTTAAATGATGTATATGCTCTATTTCATATAACCTCTCCCCGCCTTTCATTTTAAATGATGTATATGCTCTATTTGATATACCCTCTCCCCGCCTTTCATTTTAAATGATGTATATACTTGTTTGATATGCCCTCTCCCCGCCTTTCATTCTAAATGATGTATATACTTGTTTGATATAACCTCTCCCCGCCTTTCATTTTAAATGATGTATATACTTGTTTGATATACCCTCTCCCCGCCTTTCATTTTAAATGATGTATATACTTGTTTGATATGCCCTCTCCCCGCCTTTCATTTTAAATGATGTATATGCTCTATTTGATATACCCTCTCCCCGCCTTTCATTTTAAATGATGTATATACTTGTTTGATATACTCTCGCACACAGAAAGTCAAATGATGTCTTTCCATCGAAATCAGCCTTGTTAACATCAGCGCCTTGTTGTATCATCAGTTCTACAGCACTAGCATCAACATCACCACTCGCACACAGATAGTGAAATGCTGTCTTTCCCCAACTATCAGCCTTGTTAACATCAGCGCCATGTTGTATCATCAGTTCTACAACACTAGCATCAACACCACTTCTCGCACACAGATAGTGAAGTGCTGTCTTTCCATCTATGTCAGCCTTGTTAGCATCAGCGCCATGTTGTAGCATCAGTGCTACAACACTAGCATCAACATCACCACTCGCACACAGATAGTGAAGTGCTTTCTTTCCATCTCTATCAGCCTTGTTAACATCAGCGCCATGTTGTATCATCAGTTCTACAACACTAGCATCAACACCACTTCTCTCACACAGATATTGAATTGCTGTCTTTCCATCTCTGTCAGCCTTGTTAACATCAGCGCCATGTTGTATTATCAGTTCTACAACACTAGCATCATCATCACCTCTCCCACACAGAAAGTGAAGTGCTGTCTTTCCATCTATGTCAGCCTTGTTAGCATCAGCGCCATGTTGTAGCATCAGTGCTACAACACTAGCATCAACATCACCACTCGCACACAGATAGTGAAGTGCTGTCTTTCCATCTCTATCAGCCTTGTTAACATCAGCGCCATGTTGTATCATCAGTTCTACAACACTAGCATCAACACCACTTCTCTCACACAGATATTGAATTGCTGTCTTTCCATGTCAATCAGCCTTGTTAACATCAGCGCCATGTTGTATCATCAGTTCTACAACACTAGCATCAACACCACCACTCTCACACAGATAGTGAAGTGCTGTCTTTCCATCTCTGTCAGCCTAGTTAACATCAGCGCAAAGTTGTATCATAAGTTCTACAACACTAGCATCAACATCACCTCTCCCACACAGAAAGTGAAATGCTGACTTTCCATTTATGTCAGCCTTGTTAGCATCAGCGCCATGTTGTAGCATCAGTTTTACAACACTAGCATCAACACCACTCTCACACAGATAGTGAAATGCTGTCTTTCCATCTCTGTCAGCCTTGTTAACATCAGCGCCATGTTGTATCATCAGTTCTACAACACTAGCATCAACACCCATACTCGCACACAGATAGTGAAGTGCTGTCTTTCCATCTCTGTCAGCCTTGTTAACATCAGCGCCATGTTGTATCATCAGTTCTACAACACTAGCATCAGCATCACCACTCTCACACAGATAGTGAAGTGCTCTGTTCGTTTTCGTGGATGCCCGATTTACACTTGCTCCACATTCCAAGAGGATACGGGTGGCAGTAGTGTTACTACACTGTGCAACTTGTAACAACATAGTCTCACCGTCTTCATTGCTGTCATCGATAGACAGTCTGCTTGTTTCCTGCAAAATATGGACATCATTGAACCTAAGCACCCTCACGATATGCATGTTCGTCAGATCATCAGTTGATTTCAGCAAAGAAACATGGATATATTATATGATAAGGATTAAAACTAAGGCTGTCAGTAATTGGGCGAGTGAGTTGGTTAAATGCTGCATTGAACATGTCAGTATTTTAGTCATCTCATAACGTGCCGGTTTGATGTGGGAGGGAAGCCTGGAGTAATACAAGCCGCAGACGTTTACTTGCGTACCTAGGCAAACATATTCTAATATATCCCGGATAAAAACGTTGTGTATATATGCTATAAAGGTTCTGAAATGTAACTGAGATAAGGTACGTTACGTATTTGGTTACCTTGCAGCACAGGCAGATGAAATTATTCCAAAAGCTATTTCTTTCAATGATGGATGTAAAGAAGGTCCGACAAAAGTCCTCGCTTTGAAAAAAGGGTTGACGAAGCACATTAAAGCGTCTGTATATCACTGAAAGAGTGAACCTGTCGCAAAGACGTTGGATGTTCTGTTGGTTTGGCGATATTTTGAAGACATTTCTTGAAACAGTACTGTCATGGCTTTGTGACTCTGCAAACCGCATTTTCTCCATTATGAAAGAGAAACTAAAATATTTGATCGCGAACACCACATCACGTTTCCCTATGCAGTTTGCAACACTTTCATAAACGGATGGATGTGAAAATGTTATTACTCCGTGGGTGTTTGACAGATAGCTACCATTTAATGGAGCCGATACTTCAATGATACCACTGCGCTGGTCATCGTCTTCTATCTCACTGGTATCAAGTCGCCCATCTCTTTTCAAGAGAGTCTTGAACACATCTTTTAATTTTTCGGTATCCAGATACGCATCAGTCGTGGCATCCAAAATGTCTAGAGGGCGGGAGAAAAATTGTGCAATGTCAGCACATTTCTCCTCCGACTCCAAGTCAGCAAACAGCTTGCAACAATTTGGAAATCCATACGGCATGCTGCTCTGAATCACTTTTAATTTTTCAGTTTCTGGTATGTCTTTAATATTCTTCTTTTTCAGATGATAGTCTAGCATCGGAGCCTTCTCCTCTACAGGCAGACACGATAGGTTTGTTACAGCATCGACCCCAAGTATGGAACGTTTATGTTTTCCAAGACAAACTCAACTTCATTTAGGATATTTGATCTTTGCACATACATACAAATGACTCCACTTGGCTGCTCAGATTCTTTAGCCTTTGATATGTTTTCCATGGCATCGAATATGACAGGTTTCCATGTGCTGAATGCTATTTTATCAAGAGCAAAGGCCCCTATAACATCGTTCATCATGAGGACAGATCGGTGGGTATTCTTTGTGATGGTGTGATACTGCTCCACTGTCTTCACTCGAAACATTTCTCGCCCTCGTTTCATCATCTCATGAAGCACCATGTAGGCCACTGTTGTCTTCCCATCACCACCATTTCCGGTGACTGTGATCCAGTTTTGTCCAGCGTCCATCTTCTTCACGATGTCATCAACAAACCTTCACTTTGTGTGAGTTCATTGGAGTGTGAAGGGTAATACTCCAGTGAACTCACACAGTGTGAAAGTCAATTCTTATAAAACAATTATCAAAATTTGTTACCTAAAAGGATGTAGGCCAAGATCTTACCACAATTTTATTTAGTACGTGTGACTTCATGTTTACACAGACAGCCATACAACAACCAGCTATATTGCGGAGTAAAAGAGTTCCTAGAAAAGAGAGGTGACATGAGCGTATGGATGTACAACTTGCTCTTCAGAAACATCTTACGCAGCACATGTGTTCAAATCATATCCTCATTAGATGAGAAAGTTCTGTAAAGAACTACCTCAGTAAGTCAGTCACAATGACAGCGTGTCGTAATACATTTACATCAAGTACAAGACGTCAAAATGGCCGACACGATAAACGTGACGGGAGAGATTTCCGAAGTTGTTAATGAACCTGTGGCGGTTACATGTGTTAGTCATCGTTGATCAACTGGCCGATTATTGAAAGGTGAATAAAGATGCGTCAAACAGACACTAAGGTAAATTCATAGATTGCTGGAGACGGTCAGTGTCAGACTAGACACGGATTGAGTCGATACTACGATAGATTAGATGTGCATTTCTTCGTTTGTTCATTAGGATACGCAGTAGCGAGCATATCCGTTAAAAATCATGCAGTCACGCTCTCTGACATTTCTCAATGTATACTGAAACGCTGAGACCAAGAATAAAGGTTCTAAATGATCAGAAAGAACGCTTATGTATGTTTTCGTGCTAAGGAATTCCAAGGGGTTTCCCCAGGAATGTGGAAGTAGTCCGTCAGTGTTTACGTCATTTCAAGAACATGGTCTCGTGAAAAACGTATGAACGTCAAATTGTGTCGTTCATGCACTTACCGACCTCTTACCATGTGACCGACCTCTCGTCCAATGGAAAAGCCGTATATCGTGTAAACTTCAAATTAAAAATTATTATGAAATAAACGCCAAATGTTAGTTCACATCAAGAATATTGGATTTTTTTTAACTGACATGAATATCAGCTAAATGCAGCATTGAACAACACATTACTGACATCAGAGAAGGTCAGCTTTATGTGGATTACCTTGGTGTATAAATGCTTTTGTTTGGTTACATTGACGCTATGAACAAATGAAGTTTTAACCACATTCCTTCCTCTGGTTAGATGAATAAATCGAATGTTAACGGACGGTTAACAGTTGAAGGGCAGATAACGTACAAAACACTGTAACATAAGTACACTTGGACACCCTGTCCTGGTGGTCTAAAACTTTCTGTGATCGAAAGGTGATTAAATAGCCCTAATCATGATCCGTTCAATAGCAACATCGACATGACATGTCTTCAAGGCAAGTCGAGTGATTCACTGTACTTACAATTTATTCTAAAAAACAGATGTTTACAGAAATACAAAGACGTATTGAGTGATGGTAATGGATGGATAGGATAAAACGAAAGGACTTGGTGGTGTCAATCAACAGGACATGTCGGCGGCATGTATAAAGGTTGCAAATTACCAACAAAGACGAACAGAGGTGTGAAGTAAAAAAATAACGTTTGAGATGACTTAGTCAATAACGGGTTATGCCCCTGGGAGTGGTGAAACATTGTTTATTAGGCGTGACATGGTCTAAGTCAATCTCCTAATGTGAACTTGAGGGAGTCTTGTCCGCTCATCATGCAGCCTGACCTAGTTCGGCTAACGTAGGGAGTGGCCATCGATGCCTCCCGATCATGTGTCCCAGACGTGCGCTATGGGGAAAGGTCAGTACTCACGACTAGGCATTGCATTCTGGTAATTCATTGCTGCTGGATGTGAGGTCGTGAGGTGAAATGGGGATTTAACGTCGCGTTCAAGAGTATTGCACTTACATAGCAACTAGTCCGGTCTGATGCAGATTTATAGTGCTAGCACACTGAGATACCATGCCGCACTTGAATACCCCACTCAAACACATTATACTGACTCCGAGCCGACCAGTCCTTGATTTAGCCCCTTAATTCCGAGCGTGAGAGAGGGTAAAAACAAGTGCCATCTTTTAACGTCTTTCATATAACGCGATTGGTTATCGAACCCCGGACCTTACGCTCTCCGGGAGGACGCTCTGCCACTAGACTACGGAGGCAGTCACGATATTTGCACGGCGTGAATCCAAAACATTGCACGAGACCAAGGTCTAAGTCCAAACACCATTGACATCTGGCGACGTTTGTCGATGTGTTAACCGTGATACAGCTGGAATATTGTTCAAAGCGGCGTTAAACCATACTCACTCACTCACCCGATATCTTAACCCCCAGGGTGCCTGGCCGTCAGTGGCTTTGCACACCACTCAGTGCCGCACTGTGATGACGTCACGGTATCAAAAGTGTTACAACGTTCCTATTACTTCACACAGTGTAACAAAATTGTATAACATGCAAATCGAGTTGATTGTCTTTTCAACAGTATCTAAAGTAAACAAATCCCAAAGATCTATGCACTGCCTAGCCATCGTTAAAAATCCTGGTATTGTTAGTTTCCTACTTTTCTACATTTATCGTAATATGGAAGCACCTACAATGTGGCAAGTAAAGTCAAGTAAGCGCCCTTGTTTGAAATCTATATGTCCAATAATTCATGTCATTGGAAAGTACATATCCTAACGGCGATGGCATTTATGTCAAAATAAACATTCATCGAGAATTTTCCACAATTAATATTTACCGATAAAAAATCAGGATGAAATTGACAGTGTTTATGACGTCAAAACAAAATTTATGGAAGTGGTCGTGATTAGTTCATACGCAAACTGTTACAAAGATTGTGTTACAATACGAATGGCCATTTGGAAAGTATATCTTGAAGAAATTCCGGTTACGAATGCAGGTTTCAGTGTCCATGGTCTTTCATTCGTGATGAAAACAACATTGGGCTAATTGACATCGGGCATTTGTAAGGGACAAAATGTGAAAGATCGCTTAATAGTCCGAACAATACTCAAATTGACATCGCTCCATATCGGACATCGTTATTATTTCTTAATAATTAACAAGATTATAATAAGGTACTACCATCTAAGATTAAGTACACGTAGATTCAATCAAAATCGTTGAAACGCTATTATGGGCAGCAAATCTATTCAACCAACCTATTTTCGATCACTCGTAACTCGGGCGCCATATATATGTCAAACAAACATTGCTTTGTTGTGCAATCATGTTGTGCAATACTTATACAAAGCTTGAAAGGAGATATAATTGGACAAATTTAATACTTGAATTTGAAAGCTCAAGAAGCACAGAGTAGGCTATATTTAATACAAGGAAACGATAACTTGGAACAGGTGAAGGCAATATTATTGTTTTATGGTACATATATATGTGTAGATGCACGATTTGCTAATGTTTCAAAGCATGAAAGTGAAATGACATGAAGTTAAAATTGTTACGATTGATTTAACTTATTATCCATGGTGGTCCGATGATTAAGACACTTTATTATTACACTTATGTTCTAAAGTTCAATTTCCACGTAATATTTATCAATTCTAAGATAGTGTATACAATGTTTACATGTTCTCAGTAACTTTCACTACCTCGTGACCTTAACCTTCGTGTGCAATGTCAAAGCTCACAGTTCATGTCGCGACCTCTTCAAAGCTCATGCATTTTGAAGCACAAGCTCACCAGTGTGTATTGGACCTCCATGCTGCCAGGTTCTCACCTTACTGCCTGCTATATTTGAACTATGTAAAGACACATGTGAGTACCTTTCCCTTTCATTGTTAGGTTTAATGTTTATTTCTGAACCCCCTGATATTGTATATATGTCAAAATATTAATTTAGTTTAGATATTTCACACAACTGTTACAGTCCGTTTGACTCCAAATGAGAAAGATGAATTGCAAAATAACTCGAAATCCAGAAAAGTGTATGAAATATCAATACGGTACTTGACCATGAATACCCTGTACCCAACAAAATCTGAATTTTGTTTATTTTAAGACACATGACGAATGAAGTTCTTTAAGAAACTATCATGCAATTTTGTATAGAAATGTGTACATGACACGTAGAGGGGACAAACCGTGGAAGGAACAGCGCAAGCACGCATGCACTGCACGTTCTATGGTAGTGGAAATGACAGCGTTCGAGGGGCCGTCTCATGATAATTTCAGTCGCAATCTGACTCGCTCATGCCATAGATCTCGTCGTCGGAACTGCTGGTGCCTGAACCGACTGCCACTATTATAGGTTGGACTATTGCTGGCCCTAGTCCATCTCGTGACCAATAACGTGGCTCTATCTCGTCAACGACTGTGGCCACACAACGCCTCCATGTTTCTACTGTTACCCGACCAAGGGATTCCTTTACGAGTTGTTGAACGTCTCGTAATTTGAACGTTGTGTTCGATCGTCCAACGTCACCCTTGACGATGCCCCATACCAACTCGATTGGATTCAGGTCGCAGTGATAAGGTGGCAGTCGTAAGACAGCGTGACCCTGACCCTTGATGTAACTCTCAACTTTATATAAGGGGTCAGGTTTCATAGTTTTGATGATTTCATAGAGCTATGGTTTCGTCGCTCGAGAAGGAAAGGTAATGTTCCTCCGTTGCAGCCAAGTAACCATGTCTCCTTTACGGTTATTAGAGGTTGGAGTCTTGCTTTCTGGATCACTATGATACGGTGCATTGTCCATGACAATGAGAGACTTGGTAGGCAAAGCAGGGACTAATTTATCTTTCACCCACTCCAGAAATACATTGCCGTTCATTTCTGTGTGGTAGTCCCTGTTGTCTTTGGCCTTGGCTCTAAAGACGAGGTCACAGTCTGGGAGAAAACCCTGACTAGCAGAACCAGCATGGAGAACTATGAGTCTTTCACCCTTTCCCATTGGTAACTTTCTACCAGACTCCTTACAGTCACCACTGAGTACCCACTGACTGCTGGCTGTGTGTGACGCATTTACCCATGTCTCATCTAAGAAGACGGGCTCATATCCTTCTTCACGTTTCTGCTTGATGGTACGAAGGTAATGATTTCGGAGACGAACAATGTCAGACCGTTCACACAACACAGCCCTATTTTCTCCAGTTATCTTTTTTGTATTTGTAACCAAATGTATGCAACAGCTGCCATAGGTTTTACTTTGTAAGACGTAAATCATGGTCAGTTTCAAGGTGTTTCTTCAAAATTCTTGGGGACAGGTACTTATTTTCAGAGTGCAGTTTAACAATTGCACGTCTGACTTGATCCCTCTGAAAACTGTCTCATTTATCAACCTTGCGTGGTTTTGACATGTTGCCTACCTCCTTGGCCTGACTATTTGTATCTCGTCGACTAACAACATTTTTCAGTTTCTGAGGGAACATACCAAGAGCTTTTGAAGCTCGTTTCAAGAATTTATTAATTGCATAAAAAGGCTTTGCTCTTTCTGCTTCACTTCTAAAGAAATCATACACATTTAACATCAACTGTTTAACATCTGCTGAGTAGCGCATCTTGTCATTGAATGAACACGGTCATTGTGTAGCACGTGCAGACCGTGCTTGCGCTGTTCCTTCCACGGTTTGTCCTCCCTACGTGTCATGTACACATTTCTATACAAAATTACATGATAGTTTCTTAAAGAACTTCATTCGTCATGTGTCTTAAAATAAACAAAATTCAGATTTTGTTGGGTACAGGGTATTCATGGTCAAGTATCGTATTGATGTTTCATACACTTTTCTGGATTTCTAGTTATTTTGCAATTCATCGTTCTCATTTGGAGTCAAACGGACTGTACACTATATTTACAAATGTGTGCTTGGTAATTTTGCTTTTTTTCAATGTAGTCAATGTATTTATTGCTTCATTTGGATGTTATTTCGAATGTGTTAAATACTATGAAAATTGGTAAATGATTCTGAATTTACAGAAAGCTATTGTTTATTGTAGTTTTCTTAACCTCATCAACTTGTCGACGCTTCAACTCGTCACAAGCTGTCACCAATTATTCCTAAAGCCATTGCTCTAACTATAAACTGTACAACGTTAAACGTCACGAAATATACCCAGTTGATGCGAGTATCAGTTTTGTCTTCTTGCATCCACAATAAGTAATATCTAGATTAAGTGCAAGCGAAAATTACGAAAATATGAATTACTTCGATTAAAGTAGTGTTCAATGTATATACAGTTCATTTGCTCAAAACTTTGTTTCACAATGACCACTCGAAAACATACATCCTCGTCTCAGCTTGCATTTCGCACTTGGCTGCCAAACATGGATTGGATCTTTGCTCAAAATATGCTTGTATGGCCAGTCTATGAAATACAACTTTTTCTTTCACATTGTTTTATAAATAAGACTTTAGAAGTGTATTTTACACCCAGGTATGACATGCACATTCAGTTTTCCACTCTACAAAATGAAAGGTCTGAAAAAGATAATGATCGTAGATGAATGAAAGTAATGGACGACGCATTCCCAATTTGATCACACATACTGATCAGCAGGAATTACAGCAGGAGTAGAACGCCTAAGTGTTGCTGTGGATAATGAAAATCTACAATATTTATGGCTCAGGGAGATTTGACTAACTTTCATAATTTAGAATGACACCCTTTCCACGGGCACGGAGGAATTGCATGAATTGTTGGGGCGTTTGTGTGTTGGTTTTGGCTCCCAAACCTTTCTATCTCTGGCAGTCATTTATCAAAGCGGTTCTTTCTTCTGGCATACTCTGCTAAAATCGATGAATGTCGCGTATCGTGTTATCTATCTCACAGGTGTTTCAGGTCATCCTACAGACGTTTCATGTTATCGCACAAGTGTTTCATGTAAACCAACACGTGTTTCGTATTATCCAATTATCACTTGTTTGTTTGTTGTTTAATGCCACACTGGGCAATATGCGAGTTATATAAGGTCTGTCTGTAAATAACATAGTCTGGACCAGAGATAGCTTCCCATAAAAATGGCCCCATTTAATATTGTATTCACTATTATACCAACAGTAGATTAAGTAAGGATAAGAATTTATGGATGAACAACTTCTTTAATACAAGTATTAAAGACAACAGTAGGTTGTCAACATATTTTCTTATTGCAAAGGATAAGCAATTGTTCAGACTGATTGCATTTTTGTCATTTATTAACCAATAGCAACATCTCAAAACAGTACTCTTTTGCAGAGACTTCAGTAAACGCCTTTGAGGAAAGAATGTTTTTTTAGACAACTCATTTTTGAACCTATATGTTTGGTAACCTTCATTGGTCAATTTCACTAATTTAACATGCTGGAATGGAATATACGGTACAAAAAAGAGAGCTTGAACTAAGTTGGGATTATTATTTGACATCAGTAGATTTCTGTATCTGTTACTTTTGTTAAAATAAATAAACTTTGAATGACATTTGAATGAGATTGTGTCCATAAAAAAATCCGAAACAACAGTTTAATGGCCAATAAGAGATTTCAAAACATAACACCCACCTCTCATTGAAACAGCCGAGGTGTTAGGAACCTGTGTATGGTTTGAGGCTTGATTTTGTAAATATTTCTATTCGTTAAGCTGCCTTTGTCAGCTCTGATCTGTAAACAATTATCTACTCATCCTTGGTAGGGTATACGTTATATGCTTTATGTATATGATTCCAAACATGGGACCCGTGACGATCCAGGGTAGAATAGATCTTCAGCAACCATCCATGCCGTAAAAGGCGACTATGCGTGTCGTAAGAGGCGACTAACGGGATCAGGTCAGGTCAGGTTGATGCATGTAATCGATCCCAATTGCGTGGATCGATGCTCATGATATTAATCACTGATTGTCTGGTCCAACCAAACATGGTGTCAGCCAATACACGATAATATTCGTGTGATGTTTCAGCTGATACACTTCGATAGGTTCTCTTACTTAACATCAAATAGAACGTAACAAAAAATGTCTAATTTACTTGTTGGTCTGGTTTCATCGTTCTGTTGTCTTTCTCCACCGTCAGTGGACGTTGATGGCTGGATCACCTGTTGACCTCCCACGGTTGCATATCGTGCGTTAAGGTTGGCGACCTCTGTTTTCTTTGTAAAGTGGACCTGTGGGTTGTTGATTACTGAAAGGAGACAAAGATAACTTTGTCAAATGTGGCTTGATTTGGATACCTTGCACACGGGTTGCATACTAATAGATTAGCCAAGTAAATATAAAACACTGTCTTGTCAGTCCTATTCCAGAACCATCTCCGTATGTAACTTCGTGTGTTTTATCTTCAGAGAAAGTAAATTGCGTAATACTTGTGCTTCAGTAGCTCGATATCGAGCGTTGACAGTTCTTGCATGTGTATATCTCTTTGTGGACGTTTTGCATCAAAATGAGCAACAATCAATGTAACATAACATACATGTGCACACCAGAAATACGTTCGTTGTAGCAATGTGATTTAGGCTAGTCAGTCGCTTGTGTATAAGTTCTAGTAGAATAACCAGGAGATACATTTCCTCGGAAGGTCAACAACGATGATGCAGGAGTTAAGACCTGCCGATATATGGCCCCAAGTCTGCAGCAAATGTCATTGAAAATTCCCAATTTGAAAATATTAATTTCCCAATTCATTTTACAATATGTTTCAATGTATAAAACTAATGGCTTATTTTACGGCTGTGTGGAAGAAACATGTATTTAGCTATAATAGGTCCAATATATGGAAACAAGTTTTAATGTTTTGTTTTATATTATTGCATTAAATGCAATCTCAAAATACCTCTTTAAGAAAATATGAACATTTTTTTAACAAAATAACAATTTTCCCTAATTTGCCTGTCGGGCATGTGATGTTACAAGAGGGTGCATTAAGAAATGCCAACTCAATGCTACACACTCATACATTTATAACTGCAATGGTGAGTTATACTATAAACGAATTCGGATACTTTCTGGAAGCTCACCAATTAATCACTTTTAATGAATGTTTTGTCGTTTTTCCATCCAATGACTACAAACGGAAAAACGACGTTATCGTGTTTGCAGTGGAATACAATTCAGACAATTCTACTTGTCAGAAAGATTTTGATACACCAAAATCTACACGTATACCTATATTTGTTACACGCTGTTCTGTATCCACTGATGACAACGCGTTGCTGACTGATTCTGCTATAGCACGTGACAAGTCTTGTCCTTCATCTGCAATAGAAAAATCACAAGTGTTTATGAAGAAAAAATACCAAAACTTAGTCTATTGTTTGAGAATGACTGACTTTCCTGAAATATATGAAATAAACACACCTTGCGTTAGTGCCACGGCCCCCTGCAAACACGAAGGAGATCATGATCGGTGCGTCTTTCCACTGTCGTAGTGGCAATTTTCAGCTGCATCATCTCTGGTTGTTAGTTCGTCCCTGTCACCTAGCATCACAGCAGCACAGTCAGCTCCACCTGGTAAACCTTCATCTGTCCTCAGTTGGTCTTCTGTGTTCCTCTCACGAGAACTCTGTTGATGATACAGGGCCTCCAAACCAGGGTCGAAGTCATTGTTTCTACACACCGCCTCTTCCTCTTCCTTCTCCTCCTCCTCCCCCTCCACGTCACTTCCTGAGGTGCTGCCCGGGTCATCGAGGTCTGGAGTTACCTCCCCTGTGTTATCGCTGTCATCTAATAATTCTTGGAGAGATGGTGAGCTCATCTTGTAAAATTTACTCAAGTGTTCCTTTTTTCTGGAATACAATAATACAAAGCAACAGTTGCAATGTACAATCAGTTATTGGTATGTGGAGTCACATGTTCTGTGTCAAGCTGTTGTCCTATTGAAACAAAAGCCATAAATAGATGACTTCCCTCATTTGTTATGAGAGCAACATTGAAGTGCATAACACCAAAAGTAAAAAAAGCGACCAGACCCTTTCCATTATCATATAATATACCCTAGAAACATATTTCACAAACGCTTTTCCTTTACTTATAAGCAGCCCAACCGCTGCCCTTGTACACAACAGTCGTTATTACCCATATGGGCCCAAATATGCAGTGTAATAACTTTTTGATATTTGCACAGTGTGCAATTAGTGATTCTCGAAGCTGATTGGTCAGTGGAACAAAGATCAATTTTCATTGGACAACGGAACTATTTTTTTCTCATCCCATTCATTCACAAATCCACGCCATTCCCTTCAGATGTTTTACGTGCTACAATCTCACTGATTCGAGATTTTAAAGACAAGACACAGTTTCATATTAACAACATCATTTCACATTATCATTTTTTCCTTTATTTCACATGATTTTCATTTTACAGTAAAAACCAAAACTACGTCCCCGTTTGTAAACAAACATGGCTGGCCATTTGAGACCTGTCAAAGTAAATGACCTCGTTAAAGCAGACGGAGTTCTGACTGACATGAAATGTTATTCTTATAATTCAACCTCTGAACACATTTAATGTCTCTGTTGTCAAAACTGCATATGGCCAGATTGAAGTTCCAAGATCCAAATTGTGATGTTGCCAGAAACTGTTTCTAGGGCGCCAAGATCATCACCACCAAGTCCTGGTTTGCATTTGTGTTAGAGGGCTTGCTGATTGATGAATTCTTCGACCACCCGAATCCAAAAACCGGACTTTGTATAGACAGGTTTGCCTTTGTGAACGATGATGACATCGATAACTGCAAATGAAAATGAAAACACACATGAAAACGACTCAACTTGACATGTTGACATGAACTTAGTTCACAAATGTATACAGGGGCCGTATACAGGTAATACAAAAATATGACTACTCACACTTTCAACGATGGCATGAGAATAAAAACAAATTCATTTTGCAACAACATTTAGACTTTCCGAAAGACAACATAAAGAAGCTACTATTTCGTACGATTCGGTAACGTTGTGTGAAGAAATAACGTGACACTTTTTTATACAATGTATGCGTTTTTCGTAACCGCGACGTCTGCAAAGTACGGCGATGTGCGGTATGCAGGCTGACTGATGTCCGGGGACCATATGACTATGGGGGTGAATGACATAGGAAAGGTGCAACTAAACATTATCATTTACAAATTTATCATTTCGGCATGCACATCAGACAGTTAAGAATTCGAACTGTCTACTTTGAAGCACATCAAGGATAGCATAGAGTGGTACCTTAGCGACATGATTACCAGCATCTGGTTGCGAAATCGATGCACTTTGCTGAACTCGGAGAGGTTTTGAAATCAAAACAAAAATAATTAAAAATACAAGGAAAAGAAATCTTACCCCAGCGAGCTGATCCGGTGTCCGATATGGAACTAAATAAACTCCGTGAATGCGGATAGTTTAGCACCAATTCTCCAGATACCGTGTTTGTCTATCAACAGGTATTCGACCATTATGAATCACATCAAAATATCAACTACCGTCATCTGACTGTCCACTCCGCGTTTGACAAATCCTCCTGAAATCCCACATACACATGTTTCCCATCAGTGACACTTGTCTCAAAGCACACACGATGTTCATTAAACTTCTTGTCCGGATTAAACTGTAACGCCGGTTCTCTTGTCATTCCTGGTTTCGGCTGTCTCATATCTGGGTCAAGTCGGGTCATTCATTCCGACACTGTGACAGCAATCGTACTTTTCAAAGTTTACCTTCTTTTCGCAACTTTTCTCTAACAAACAAGACTTCTGTACATTCCGTCTATGTTGTTGTTATAGATTTTGGCATGTTTGTCAAATGACACATAAAAAAATTGACAGGTTTTCCGTGTTTCCTCTTCTCAATGTGAAATGCATGTATCTGCCGATGCACGACGGGGGCTGTCTGTCAGTGACGAGATCTTGTCAAAACAAGCTTTGATTAAAAAACCTGATGAACCTTTTTGGAAACCTGTCTTCCTCATCAATGCTAGATAATGTACGCTGTGTAAATCGGACAGAATTATAACTGCAATAATGTGATCTTTACAGTTTTTTAACAGAACTATTTCTTTTTCAGACGTAACAACACGTTAATTGAGTAATGCGGTTGGAGTGAGTGGACGGTGTTTTTTTCACACGCGGATTGATACAAAACAGCTGATTCTTGATCGGCGACAGTTGATTGTTTTTTTCTTGAAACATGTCTTTAACATGAATATGGGTAATAAATAGAATAACCCCCTCGGTACGAGTGATTACGGAAAATATGTCCCTCGTGAACTAAAAGCTCGGAACTTTAAACATTAATTTCACTCGTGACATATTTTCCGTAATCACTCGTACCGAGGGGGTTATTCTATAATTATTGAACATTATAATCAGTAAATTCGCTAAAGTGTCACTTGATTGTCTGGTTCATCACTTGATTGTCTGGCCAAGACTCGATTGTGGTATATGCCGCCTACGTATGGCATGAGTACGTGCTGCTGTGCGGTGTCAAGCAACACACATATTTTTATGTGCATTGTGGGAGTGGCGAATGCTACCAGTAGTGCCATCACTGACTTTACGCAATCCATGCATATGATTTTCACCATTATTGCGCTCATTGGAATCTGTTTCTGCGAGTTATCGTAACTGATTATTCTCTGCTGTGGACGTTACATATTTACTTAGGACTGAAGGAGAAATAACATACAGAAAGAAAAAGCAGATTTTATGTAATTATATCAATATTGTTATATGGCAATGTGATGTATTATAAAAACAGTATTGTGGTGAGGAAGTTACTATATTATGATGCTAGTGTGATGTTTAAACTTCCGGAGCAATGTGGACTGATGTGGAGCGTTATGGAAACATGTGGAATATTCTGAACTCTGTGATGGCACTTTGTTGAAAGTTCTGGAAAATGTTTGGGTTATAAAAGTGAAGCGGGTGCGTCCCTGTTCCTTCTGGGTGAATATATACTCCTCACAAAAAGTTAAGCAACAAATCTGTTATGTGTCAGTCCATGTTCATATATTCCAATACCTAAGAACTGACTAAAGCAAAACAAAGAAAGAGCACAAACACACATTGTCCTCAAAGGGAACTGAAAATCGTTTATGCCTAACAGGTTTACAAATGATCAAAAACTGTATGAAAACAGCCGTGCAAAATGTGCTGCACTGAAAGATGAAAATCTTTAAATTTGAATTAAAGTCATTTTGAAACAATGATCCAATGTTCAGTAACGTGTACGTCCAACACTGGCTGGAATGCAAGCTTCTACACATCTTGGCATTGACCAGATACGCCTATCAAGTGCCTGTTGTGGAATGTTCTGCCATTCTCTTCTTAAGGCCTGTTCAAGTTGATCCAGATTCTGAGGACGAATACGAATACCATATACACGCCTTCCAAGAATGTCCCATGCATGTTCAATGGGATTAAGATCAGGAGACCTTGCAGGTCATTACATATGCGTGATGTTGTTGGTCTGAAGAAGATCAGTGACTACTCTTGCTCGATGTGGACGAGCATTATCATTCAAAAAGATGAAGTTAGGACCTGCTTGTTGTGCCAGGGGAATGATCACAGGTGTGACAATCTCGTTCCTGTACCGTACTCCAGTCATGGCACCACGTCTGATGACCACAAGATCAATTCTGTGTCCAACCCTAATGCCAGCCTAGATCATCAAACTTCCACCTCCATTCTGGTCGTGTTCAGTAATTGTACAGTTGGCGTATCGTTGATTACGGTTTCTACGCACACGTGCCCTGCCATCGTTGAAGTCAAGGCAGAATCTTGACTCGTCTGTGAAGAGAACGTTACGCCAGCGATTGACCCTCCAGTTACGGCGTTGATTGGCCCAAGCAAGTCTCTGTTGTCGATGGTGTGCAGGCAGTTGGATACGTCGTACTGGTCGTCTGGACCTCAGATCCTCAGCGTGAAGTCTATTTCTTACTGTCTGTGTTGAGGCTAGGGTGGCTAAATACCGGTTCTCACGAGGAGTTGTCACCTCAGTTGAAGTTAAGTGACGACTAGCCATGTCTAAAGCGTTAATGTCGACAAATTGCCCTTGCTTGCAGTTGTTAAGCAATCAGGGTGCATGGGTGAAGTGTGTAAAACATGCATGTCGTGCATTTTGCATGTGTGTTTTGAGGGTGGTTGTGTTCAGGCGATGTTATCAGTGTTATCAGGAAAATCTACATGGAAAAGACTTTACGTCGAGTATTCGTAGGTAATTCTCCTGCCTGAATTTGTTCTCAATGGATGGCATTCAACACTGATGAGAATGTTCCACGGAAAATAATACTTGTTGCTTAACTTTTTGTGATGAGTATATTATTATCACTGACTTTTTCAATTATTACTGTTTTTATGTTTGATACTGACCACAATCATACCATATATCGCCCTTGCATATTGTACTACCACTCTTTTCTGTATTGCCAATGTAACCGATGTGCAGTAATGTAATTTGTATTGATTTGGAAATCTAGTTAATTTTGTAATAGAATTAATTGTATACACTTTGTTGTTTGGTTTTTAGGTTTCACACAAAATTCTTTTCCGTACAGAGTTCGGGGTTAACAAAAAAATATATAAGATTTTAAGTGATTCAGTAGATGGATCACTTTTCGTGGATGATTTTGATATTTCTTGTCATGGGAAAAAATATGCATACAATAGAGAAGCAGTAACAATTATGTCTCAATAGAATTCACAAGTAAGCCGATTAAGGACCCTGACTATATTTGAATGACACCCCTATCAAAATGGGAAAGGAAGCCAAGGTCTTGAGACATATTTTTGATATCCATTTCACC